ATGATAAATGCCAGAGAGGGTGTGGAGAAAAGGGAATACTCCTACACTTTCGGTGGGAATGTAATTTGGTGCAGCCATTAGTGGAAAACATTACAGAGATTCCTTAAAAAGCTAAAAATAGACTTACCATATGACCCAGCAATCCCACTCCTGGGCAAATACCTGGAGAAAACTGTAATTCAAAAAGATATATGCATCTAATGTTCACAGCAGCACTATTTACAATAGCCAAGACATGGAAGCAATGTAAATGTCCAACAGATGACTGCATAAAGAAGTTGTGGTATATATACACAGTAGAATACTACTCAGCCATAAAAAAGAATGAGATAATGCTATCTGCAGCAACATGGATGGACCTGGAGACTGTCATACTATGTGAAGTAAGCCAGACAGAGAAAGAAAAATACCACATGATATCATTTATATGTGGACTCAAAAAAAATGCCACAAATGAACTTACTTACAGAACAGAAGCAAACTCATAGACAGAGAAAACAAACTTATGGTTACCAGGGGGGGCAAAGGGGTGGGGAGGGAAAAACTGGGAGTTTGTGATTTGCAGACACTAACTACTATATATAAAATAGATAAACAAGGTCCTACTGTAGAGCACAGGGAACTATATTCAATACTTTGTAATAAGCTATGATGAAAAACAATATGAAAAGGAATACATATGTAACTGAAACACTATGCTGTACACCAGAAAGTAACATAACATTGTACATCAACTTCAATTTTTAAAAAATTGCTTCAATTGAAAAACAGAAACAGAATAATGAATATTATCTATTAAAGAGTATAAAGTTCCATATACCCATTAGAGCTACCCTGCTGACTATGCTCCTTAGGTCTTACATGCCCTCACTTATTTTCTGTCCATTTGATTTTATACTGAGAATAGTATGTAATGTCTCCTATAAAGGTAGATGCTTTTATGTGGTGTATAATCCTGTTACATGTTAATTGTGGCTTTTAGCACTGAAACCTGTCCTTCTTTGTGATGCTTACTGTATTTTTGTTACTCTTATTTGTCTGATATCAGACTTGCAATCTCTGCTCTCTCAGTGTTTCCATTTGCCTGGTATACTTTTTGTCTTTCTCTTTATATTTTAGCTATTCTGAATGACTTATAATCTTGCTATAATTATTAAGTGTTTACTATATTTCCTATGTTTCTCTCTTATATATGTTTTCTTTGCCATTTTACTTTGTAAATTTTTCCTGGTGTTCTCTCAACATTTTGATGTTGTTCTATTTGCTATGTTTCTTTTTCTACATGATGGCAAGTTTACTTTTGTTTTAATTACGTTACTTACCAAGGTTTGTAGTTTTTTTTCTAGTTGCTACCGATGTAAAACTGAGAGGTATAATGCTAGTGTCTCATTCTCTTCCTCTTGTAAGCTATTTGATCATTTTGCCTAGAAACCCAGAATGTGTTTCCTTTATTGTTAACGTCTAATAAATTTAGTAGGATATGTCTTGGAGTTGATAACTACAGGTTAATTTTCTCTGGCATTAGGTTAGCCTTATCAATTTGTACATTAGGTCTTTTATGTCCACATACTTTTCTTGGGTTACAGATTTCAGTATCAGTTCTGCTCCACTGTTTGTCTTCTTCGGTGACTACACTGATAAGTAAGGTCAGTATTCTTGTTTGACTTCCAATTCAACCACTTCTTAACTCATTTTACTTCTTTCTTTATCTTGTTTTCATTCTCTTGGTTGTTTTACTGCTTTTCTTCAATATCCTATATTAAGTTTTCATTCAAATCTAGTTTTCTTTAGAGACATAATTTTTTCTCCTTTTTCAGTTTTATTAGGTAGAATTATTACAGTTTGACTGCATAGACACATTACATTGCATGTAAATACATATATACAGTTTACTGCACATTTTTTGTTTACACATATGTACTAATTATTGTTTCTAAGAACAGATTAGATGTTTAGCTTTTTAAACTTGTAGTTATCAAAGGAATAAAGCCAACTACAAAATAATCAACAGAATGCAGTAGAGACATTATAATTTAATATTTACTTCTGATATGATTAGCTTTTTCTTTCATTTTTTTCTAGAGTTTAATTGTGTCACTTCATTTCTTCCTGTTTCTTAAACATTTCTGTTTTTAGTTTTTGATTTTGGATTTAAAATGCTTTTATTATATCTCTAAATGCTTGTTTGAGAATGTTTAATAAAATTATATTGGTTGTGTTACAGTTTTTTCATGCTTCCCTATTGTTTTTCTGGGGGAAGTTTCCATCAACTGAATAGTTTTTCTCAAATGATGTGATTTTTTTTAAACAGCAATTCTGTTCATAGTTTTTGCTCCTCAGAAGGAGAGGACTGGATGATGTGGGTGGTTTATGAAATTTTTAATTCAGGAGAATTCTCCTGTTATCATGTACCAAAGTATGGTTTCCTTATTGTATGGCTTTTATTGGGGGACATTGTGGATGGAAAGAATGTGTGTCTTCAAACTTAGAAAAAAAATCTTCTTTTGTTTTACACAATCCTAAATATACTATAGCCCTTTTTGTTGTTGGATTTAACTTGGTGAATTTTTGGACTAAGGTTTACTCTTTTTTTGGATCATTTTATTAAGTATTTGGGTACGGAAATTCAGTAAGTAATATTTAATGTTATTTAATCTTGAATTATTAAAGCCAATACTTAAAATATATGTATAGACTTTGTTTTTTTAGGGTAGTTAGGTTCACAAAGAAATGGAGCACAAAGGTATAGAGATTTTCCATAGATCCCCCACCCAAGACATGCATAGTTTCCCCTATTATCAACATGCCCTGCAAGAGTGGTATATCTGTTACAATGGATGAACCTACATGAACACGTCATTATCACCCAGTGTCCATAGTTTATATTAGGGTTCACTCTTAATGCTGTACATTCTATGAGTTGTATAAACATATAATGACATGTATCCACCATTTCAGTATCATATAGAGTAGTTTCACTGCCCTAAAACTTCTGTATGCTCAACCTATTCATTCCTCCCTCTTCCTCTATACATTAGTTATTATAGTATAAAAATATTCATTATTAATTTTGTCCTATTGATACTAAAATGCCCATAATTAGAAATTAGATTAAAACCCTAAATAAATGTGCATTTTATATGAAGTCATTACAAATAAATCCATAGTATGCATTAGTTTTTTAAAATATACGTATTCTAAATATTACAACCAGTTTACTCATTTCCATTTACATTAAATACTCTAATATGTTATCTTTATTATCCACATCATCAAAAACAGATTAATCTGTAGTTAATACACACTATTTACTAAGCTACTAAAATAGACTAAGGCCCTTTGAGAATATTTCAACAACCATCTTAAAAGAAGCAGAAAATTCAGCTTTGTCTTTATCAGGTGAAAATATGGGTAAGATATGCTACCCTCAGGAAGCTTCCATCTCAGTGGGGAGTTACAGACAAGAATCGCAATGTAATGTAGGGCAACGTGACAGAGTGCCTGGGATAGGGTGGATACAGAAATGGGGTGGTTATTTTAAAGTACAACAGTCAATGAAAACTACCTTACAGATCTGATACTTGGACAGAGACTTGATAAAGAGGTGACCAAGCAAAGACCTTAAGAAAGTAGTTTCAGGGCAGTGGGGAAAGCAAGTGTAAAGAGAGCTGAAGCAGAAACCAGCTTGAAGGAAGAGTCAGGAGGTCAGTTTGCTGTGGTGTAGGGAACAAACAGAAGAGTGGTATGAAACAAGGCAGATGCTGGTAAGGACAAGATCATGTAGGAGGCCATGATAAGCAGTTTCGATTCTATCCTGATTGTCATTGAAAGTGATTAGAGAATTTTAAGTGGGGGCATAATATTTTCTGATTTATGTTTTCAAGGATCACTGATCAGTATACGGAGAATGGACTGTGAGGAGGAGGCAAGAATGAGAGATGAAAATAGTCCACCCAAGAGGCGTGGTCCAGGAGGCTTAGACTAGGGCTGCAGTAATGGGGATAAGGGATCAATGTATACTGCCTCCATGTGCTGTATGGGAAGCTGACAGGACTTGCTAATAAACTGACTTCTAGTCACAAGGGGAAAAAGTAGCATCTAGGATGGTAACTACGATGGTGCTATTTATTGTAATGGAGAAGACAGAGGAAATTGGAGGCAAAGAGGAATACAGTCCATCTAAGGTAAGGATTTCTCTGCCTTTCCCTAGCCCTCACACACACCAGCAGATGTAGAACTGGGCAGAGGAGAGAGAAAAAAATGTGAGCATCAGATCATACCAGCACCATCTGTCCAATCCAAAATGCTAGAGTCACAGATCTAGCCTATACTCGGGGGGAGGAAAGAAAAGAACTTTGAACCAACTATGCTACTGAAGCTTAAAAATGAGTATGTTGAGTCTCAGAAACTTAAATGTGATCATATAATTGAAAGTAGCCTGAAAAGCTATGAAATTGGACTATGATGTTGTTCAAGAAGATGCAACCCAATGGAGAGGGGTCATTAGAACACAGCTGAAGGCAGTAACAGGAAAAAATAAGACTCTTTCATGTTCATTCCCCAAGTTTTTCAGAATACTCAGAAAATAAAGCACCAAAAGTGACTCCAGAATGAGGAAGTGATCAGCTGGTTCAAAAGGTGCTGAGAAGTTCAACAGGATGAAGACAGAGGACTGACTTCAGCAACAGGCCACTGATTGATCGCCTCGATAAAAGTCATTTTATTTTAGCAAGTGGTAGAGATACAAAAGCCAAATTGGAGTGGGCAAAAAAGAGGAGAGGAAGTGAGGAAATACAGGTAACAATGACAGAGTATCTTTCAAGAAGGTCAGCTACAGACACATGAGGGAAAAAAATGAGAGTGGACCATTTTTAATCATAATGGCAGCTTACTTTCTAGTATGCGTCACAGAAATGCCAGTAATATTCTTCAGCGGTTCTCTGCAACCAAAGTATATATAGTGCAGGAAAACGTAATTTTTCAACAGATTTTTTTCTTACCTCCACTGATTAAATTTAATGTGTCTTGTTTTCCATCTCCTTCTTGTGACTGACCTGGATCCAGTGAAGTCTGAGAAAGGCTAACTTCAGCTGATAACTGGTCAAGACTCTGATAACTTTTTCTGTAAGACAAGAGTGAAATACTACTTCAATTTCTTCTCACAAAAAAAAAATTCCTAGAAGCATTCTTAAATGATTTTCTTCAATTTACTTAATTTCTGGTTAGTTTCTCCCCATTGTTCTCCCTAAACTTTATCAGGGCTGCAATATGATCTCCATTATACTTTTCTTTCTGCCTTCTTTGGAAGTCTGTTTAATCTACTAAAAAAGGAAAAGAGAAAATTTGTCACACAAATTTAAATCCTTACACTAATTTTTGATGATCAAGTTAGTTAAGAAATGGTCATTATCAATTGCCAAAGGTGCAGAAAACCTCACATCACTTAATGTAGAAACAAAACTGACATAACTTAATGATGAGCTAGTATCTCCAAAGCCCAGTACCCTGATATTTTTACAGATGGTTTCTACATAACAATAATAACAAACTATTATTATCAGTTCCTATAATTTAGAAGTTTAGAAAATGTTGGGTAGTAAAATACTGTTTGTGTTAAATCACTGTCAAGATAATTAACCTCCTTCCCTTACCTATTTGTAATTAGGAGCCCACTTTATACCAAACAAATTCATTAGAAATTATTTACAACAGAGGAAAAATTCAGTTATAAATTCAGTTATAAATGCTGAGATAGACTATGTAAACTATACTATATTTAATCAAATTATTTTCCTGTGCCTAATAGGTAGAAGGCTTGCTTTTTAAAAGATGAGTTTCTGACACTGTTATTTCATTATCGGAAACTTTTTAATTAATATCATTAAATTTAAAATTATGCATAGAATATTTACAAACAACAAAATACCCAGAAGCAAAAAGGACTTAGAATTCATTTGACTCTCGAGGAAGGACTGAGAGTTTCACAGCACATGTTTACAGAATGTGAAGGGCTGTCATCCACAGAGGAAGGAAAGACCTTGAAAGCATCCTAAGGTAACAGCAACACCAATACAAGATGAGCTTTTTGTGTGGACTATGGAAGTTCCTTTCAGAATATCACACTTCTAAATCCAAAGTGATCTGGGGACCTTTCTACTCTCCTCACATTTATAGGCTTTATTTACTTAACCAAATGTCAATAAACATTAAAACAGAACTAGTAGACACCGATGTTTTGAAGCAATAATAAAAATTGTAAGCCAGAATTAAGCACCTTATTCATAAGACATTAAGAACAGTATCACACAGTATCTTCTTTTCATGGAACTAACTAGTCACCATCATCTAAAAGGAATCTAATTCAATAATGACAAAGAATGGCTTTGGTTTCCACATTCTTACCTGATTTCCAATGCGACTGGCAGCTCCATCTGACAAATTATTTTGTTGTCAAGGAGTAACTATCTGTCTATCGGAGTTCTTTAAAATATCGTAAGTCCTACCTTAGAATTCTAGACTTATTAAAATCACACTGTAAGATTTAAGTGTAGCCCACCAGATATGTCAAACTAATGAACAGTCTGTTCCTATTTCTCAGAATGGGATTTCTAAAATGGCAATAGCTTAATCAAAATAAGAACCCAAGACAGTAAGAGTTATGTATTATGACTATATAAAAGTTTATAGTTTAATCTATGCCACTACATTGTTAAATATAATTTAACTTGCAGGAATTGTCATATGTCATGAACATTTGAGACAATAAAATCCACTGCATTCGACATCTTACTATTTAAACATTTTAAAACCATTCGAATACAAACCTCTATACATAGAATCTGATACCAAATAAAGGCAAACTAAAAGGAAATAAAGCAATAGACCTGAATTCAATTCTAAATAAGTTTTTCTTGAAGCTTACACTTTGTATCAATGATCAGAAATAATGATATGAATAATCTATTGTCACTTATTTGCCCATCAGATGTCTTGAGGTCAGTAATAACTTAACATGATCTGGTAGTCACTGGACAACAGTGTGTGATCCACAGAAGGAGACATTATCCACATGCAGAAAGTAAAAACAAATAGATGCGCACTGTATACATAGAGGCACTTGGCTGTGCATGGAAAAGAGATAGACCATTCTTTTTATTCTTGGTTTGATTTTCATAGAAGTATGTTTAAGGAACAAAATAAGCATTTGCTCAGCAAAATGTCTATAAACTCAATTTACTAAAATTAATGGAAGGATGCAAGGGAGCTTGACGGGGATACACGCGAGTCAGGTTAATGCAAAAACTTAACTATCTATAAAAGACTCCTACAGTCTCAGTGCTTGAGGAAGTTCTTCTCTAAAAAGATTAGAAAAACACATGGGAAGAAGAACTTCTAATGCATCTGAAGTGATTATATCTAATGCATCAGAAGTCAGTAAGAAAAATTAGCCTAAATAGTAAATAATGAAAGGCCTGTAAAAGCTTGTAATTCTTAATAATTTTATAAATGACAGCCAAATTGGGAGACAATGATAAATTTAGAAAACTAAAAAACCTTAAGTAGAAAAGATGAATATGGTGACAATGAATCTGATCTTTTGGGACGGGAATGATGGGTTAGGCAATAATCTAAAAAGGTTAAGTAACAGATAATCTAATAAGATTATATAACAAATATGTAACAAGCTCATGTGACCTAGATTTTACATATACACATTAAGACAGAACTTATTTTAGAAACAAAAAAGTAATCGATTGCTCTATGTGTGTCTTAGGGAATGTGTTTTATATATTTATTCATTGTTGAGCTCTTATAGCAAGCCTGTAATAACTTAAAAATTTTAACATGATATTCTTATGTTTGAAGTAAAGGGAAAGATACAACAAAATCCAGCATAACTAATGTTTCCAGGTCTAAATAATCAAGAAATAAACTGGAAATAATATTTTTAAAGTTTTATAATCAGTGTTGTAAATAAATTTAAGATCTACTGTGAAAAGGATCCTTCCACAATCAGGTGACCACAGCCAAGTTATCTAATGGCTCATTTTAAGAAATGTCAACAAATCCATGAAATTCTCTGGATCAAACAGCACACCCTCTTTCTTCTCAAAGCCAATTGGGAAAATAAATTTACAGAGCCCAGACAGAGAAATAACTCTGGACATCCCGTACTCTTAAGCAGCAAATTATAACAACTCTCATTATGGGGTCAGTTTCTTTTTCCATATCATCAAGAGAGCTAATGTTCCCTACTAAACAGGTTTTGGCTACCTCCTCTGTAACTTGGAGTTTCTCATAAATGTTTCTTGAACTTAATGTAAGATATTGATGCAATGAAGAGGAATTAGTGATCAAGTTAGTTTAAGAGCTTTGGCTTATATTATAAATTCGAGGAGAGTAGAAACTAGATCCTGATAAAAAGTTATGATCTGTTTCAAAGATGATTTATACCTCACTATCCTGTTCTGAAAATCCAAAGTTTCCATTTTTACAAGAAGTTGCTACTGTTTATTCTGAACAACTGGGGATTTGCTGGTCATTTTAATTTTACATAAGGTTTTACAGCCTCTAGGAAAGCAGAGCTTCTTGGGCTGGTGGATGAGTGTATATTCTGAAAATATGAAAGATACAAGGTCCTATGAGAGTATAAACAAAAAAGATTACATAGACTATAAACAAAGATTTTCCAGTGAGGTATCACCTTATACCAGCCAGAATGGCCATCATT